TGCTGGAAGCAAGAAGGAATTTTTAATGTTTATTGTGAGAGCCGGGTAGAGCCCGAAGTAAAACTCTCAGTTGTTCAGAGTTCCCCTCAGGGCAGCCTTCCCTGTCGTTTTTTAACTCTCAGTTTCATCCACACCGAGCACCTAGAGGTTCATCAATTATAGTTCTCCTAATCTGGCACTGGTCCCCACAAAGATTTTGCTTAGGGACATTTACTTCCTTGTGACATTGTATCTGTGGGTAAGTCTCTCCAGGCTGGGGGTAGTAGTCTGCTCTTTTATCTCAATTTTCTGATGAATCCAGAAAGAGTTATTTGTTCAAATTTATTCAGTTTCGAACTTGTTAAGATGAAGCACTTGGTTTTCAACCTCCTTACCTGCTGAACTAGAAATAGAGAGCAATTTTTAAAAGAAGAGAGGAGAGGAAAGGTAATGAGATATTTTTCCTAAAGGATAAATTCCTTGCAGTGTCAATGGCATGAACTTGGATGGCCAATTTCAAAAATGGCCACTGAAATATTCTAGAAAGTCATGGTTATGAATTAATTGATAGCAATAGCTTCCTGTGGTTTAGACGCTTTGCAAACAGGGGATTTCCCACACTTGTTATTTTTTTTCTAATCATTCTATGCATTTTATACATAAAGGCACTAACTACATTTGGAGTCATTCGAGCTCAAAATGGCTAACAACAAATAATCCATTCAAAAAATAAAAATTACAACTGTTGTACAGTACATTATATCTGGATAAATGTCCATATAGGCTTTGATAAAGTGATTTTCTTAACTCATAGTTTAAATTCCTTCATTTGCTTACTCAACAGACAACCCTTAGGATGTGCCAGGTGCTATGCTAGAACTCAGTATAATTAAGAACCCGTCCCTGCCCATAATGCATTTAAGCTAATCAAAAGGACAGTCACACGAACAGAGACTCAGAAAACAGTATTACACATTAGATGATAGCAAGGTATACAGGTTTATAGAATGGTAAGGGAAACCCTCCTCCACCCAGCAAGAATAAAGGAAGAGAAAAGGATCAGAAAAGACAGACAGAATATAGCAGTACTTGAACAGAATGTTAATAAGCCTGGCCTCTTTCCTTATATATCCCATAGACTATGAATAAGGTATTTTTTTTCATCCTCCTTTTGGCTACATTTTGAAGGCTGTGAATCCTAGGGATAAGTACTGCAAATAACTGCAGAGTTTGTATGCTGCTGCAAAAATGATGAAGTGTCCCAAACCAACCAGAGGGAGGCCATGGAAGGTCCTCACAGTGGTGTCATAATGTTGACGCCTCTCAACATTACAGATTATGGCTGGAAAAGAGATGTCTAGATATCTAACCACAAACACTAGGGCAGTGATGGCGAACCTTTTTAGAGACCAAGTGCCCAAACTGCAACCCAAAACCCACTTATTTATGGCAAAGTGCCAACACTACAATTAAACCTCAATATATGAGCAGCCTTGTGAAAGCTCAGACAAGTCATGAGTTTACACCTTAGAAACCTTTATTTTAGAGGTGGAACCTGACTGGAAACTTTCTTGCATGAGTTCATGAAGCTATTTACCAACAGGAATAAAACCAGGGCTTGGTTATTTCTTTATTACATCATGTCAACTGGTGACTTCATCACCTGGTGCCACTATTCCTTTCCAAGCAAGCGCATTGTCCCTAAGTGTGCTATTATACCATGCTCAGCTGCTGAAGTGTTGCTGGGGCGACTTGGCTCACTTGCCAACAGAAAAGGCCCTATAGGCTCGCGGTTGCATGCATGCCACAGGTTTGCTACCACTGTATTAGGGCATCAATCAACAAGGATCACTGCTACATAATCTAGTGACATTTAGGTAGATTTCTGTTCTTCTGTTCTTCAAGCTAAAGAGCCCCTGCAGTCACTCATCCATCTATAGTAATCACATCAGGAAGACACAATCACAAAGTGTGTGCAAGAAAAAGCTCTCAAGTTCATAGCTTAGAAAGCTTTATTTTAGAGGTGGAGCCTCACAGGAAACTTGCTTGCATGAGAACATGAAGCTGTTTACCAACAGGGATGAAACCAGCACTAGGTTATTTCTTTACTTTTAAAAATTGGGCCTTAGGGTAAAGCTCAATAGTAGAATGCTTGCTTAGGAAGTATGAGACCCTGGATTTAACTTTCAGGATCACCAAAAAGGTATAGTCATTAAAAAACTGAATGATATCTAAGTTCCAGGCACTGTGCTAGATATGAGTGTAAAATGTATACACATTATTTCTCATTCTTGTTCTACCCATCTCCTTACCACAGATTCAAGTAGTTTCACCTACAAATACTCTGGGTGTCTTCAAAATATAAAGACTGTTTATAAAATATAACCACCATTATCATAGCCCTCAAAATAGTTCACTACCATCAAATATCAGTCAGTACTGAAATGATCTAATTGTTTCATAAAGAAGTTTTTATGGTTCTTTGTGTAAATCGGACCCATAAAAGTCCATTCATTACACATTTGTTGACATTATTTGTTTAGGAAAGTAGATCATTATCAAGTAGTATTTCCTACAGTTTGGAGGTTACTGATTCCAATCTTAGTATCCACTTAATACACTCACTCTTTTTATTTTTGTCTTTTTGAGACAGGGTCTTGCTCAGGTTCAGGCTGGCCTTAAGCTCACTTTTTAGCCCAGGCTGGTCTCGAACTCACAACGGTCCTCCTCCCAAGTGCTGGGATTACAGGCGTGTACCACCACACCTGGCCTCTTTTGATTTTTTTAAACTCCCACAAACTAGTACTTACATCTACTAGCTTGATTAGACTGTTTCAATTTTTTGACAAAAAATATTTCATGAATGGTTCTGTATATTTTCTATTGTACTACTTCAGGAGGCCCAGGATACCTAGTTGTTATTCTTTTGGGGAGGTACCGTTAATTAGCAGGTGATTTTGCATGAGATCATGATCAGACTATTCCAAACCGATTCTCTTGAGACCTGGCCTGCTTGAGAAAGGCACGCTTTTTCCCACTTCAAAATGCTACTCTTCTCCTCCCCCTGCTGGAAGCAAGAAGGAGTTTTTAATGTTTGTTGTAAGAGCCTGGTAGAGCTGGAGGTAAAACTCTCTCTCAGTTATTTGGAGTTCCCCTCAGGGCAGCCTTCCCTGCCGTTTTTAACTCTCAGGTTTCCAAAGGTGCTACTTCAGATAGGCTGTGGCCCTTCTAGGGAAGTGAATGTTAAACTGTGACCTAAAAGACAGAAAGCTGCGTAGAAAAAACAAAGAGTGTGAGAAGCCCTACCCTGAGAAGGAGCTTGCCATGTGTCAAATAGTTCCTCTCAAGATCCGTAGAGCTTTTCTTTCCATTCTGCATTAATCCCAGTAATTTTTCCAGCCTCTAAAAGGTGAAAGCAGAGACACTCCTGCCTGCTGGTGTCTGTGAAACTCTCAGGTGCAAACAACCTCAGGTATGTATCTTTGCTCTCTTGAAAATGTTTACATGCAGGACTATTTTGACTTAATCTGGCCGAGAGCAAATACAGTTTCCCTCAAGACCTGGCTACCTTACTGGGCATGACGGTGCAGTAGACACTGCTGCTGAGGGTACAAAGTATTTGCACACCTTCTACACTAATCTTTTCTGGAATGCTCTCCATCAGACTTAAAATAGCTGCGGTTCAACTCCCTGTTCCCTAAAATAGAGAATGAGTCAAAACTTACCTTGCAGGTTGTTATGAATATTAAATGAAATAGATTGTGAAAGAGCTTGGAGAAACATGAGATATTTATTGTGCTGAGAAATACGATATTAACATAATAATAGATATCAGTTGGTATTCCCAATTGTATAACTAACCATCCTCCCTCAAAATGTTTATTAAAACTTTCCTACTCTGAGTTCCAACTATTGTAAACGCTGAGGCTCTGTGATAACATCTAATATACTATATATCGCATCATATTTCCTTCAAGCAACCCTATCAGGAAATATCTTAATAGGAAACAGGTTTAGAAAGGTTAGGTGTTAACCGAGGACTCACAGACAGTGAGTGGCAGAGGCCAGATTCATAGAACTGTAACTATTGCCACTTACACGGCAGATAATAAATTACAGAAAACTTTCATTTTAAAAATGGTTGCTTTAAAAACAAAAACGATTTTATAGCTCCATTGTATAGCTCGATGGGCAAAAAAATTTCTCGTCAACACTGAACAGATTAATTGCTCCTGAGATTCTTTGGGAGACTCTTATTCTATATTTCATCCCTCGTTCTAACAAGATTATAATAATCCAGAGGCAAGATTTACGTTACACACCTTTCTGTTTATATTTCCCTCACCACCGCTATCAAAGTTAAGATGTTTGAGCCACTGTCCCCAGGCAACTAGGGAAGGAACTGGGAGACAGGATAGCAAATGCTAAACTGTACATTCCAGGACAGAGATGACAGTTGAAGAAAGTTTCAGGGGAGAGGTAGAACTGTGCTGGACCCTAAAGGATCAGTAGGTGACGGCTACGCAGAAGAAAACACAGAGGGGCTTCCAGAGAAGTCGGAACAAAAGTGGTAGAAGCTCATATATCTCGAAAAACACGAGTGTGCATTGTCACAGAGTTTGCGTGACTGGCAGTTCTGTTTTCTGCTGACATTACGAAAAGATGAGATGTTGGAAGTTAAAAAGCTTCACGTAAAAACGGCTGGAATAGGAAAGGTGAACCCTGATTCGAGACTCGAGATCCAAGTCCCGGGGCCTCAGATGAAGGTACCAGGGTCTCAGATGAAGGTATCAGGGTCTCTTCAGTTCGGCTACCCGAGACCACCACCACTTTTGGAGGCGCTATCTTTTGGCTTGCTATAGCATAGCGTCTATACTACCTCGGTGCACTCTATGGTTGGCGCGCACGCGCGAAGCCCTTCTTTCCGCACAAAGACCATAGAAGGAGGGATAAGCGCAAGCGCTCTGTGTTCCCTGAGGAGAACGTCATCATCCCTCCTCCTGGCAAAGGGGAATAGCGCGGCGCCTGCGCTCTGAGGGCTTTCAGGACTTATTTCACGCTGCGAGCGGCGGTGACGTGATGAGTAGTCAAGGAACGGAAGCCGGGAGGGAACTAGGGCGGAACGGAACCAGGGGCCAGGATTGTGTTCGGATCCTTGGGGGTTCCGATGTGGTCCCCTGAACGGGAGGCCGAGGCCTCGGCCGGGGGAGACCCGGCGGGCCTCCTGCCCCCCGAATGGGAGGAGGATGAGGAGCGTATGTCCTTCTTGTTCTCTGCTTTCAAGAGGAGTCGCGAGGTGAACAGCACCGACTGGGACAGCAAGATGGGCTTCTGGGCGCCGTTGGTGCTGAGCTACAGCCGCCGCCAGGGGGTGGTGCGCCTGCGTCTGCGGGACTTGCAGGAGGCCTTTCAGCGCAAGGGCAGCGTCCCGCTGGGGCTGGCCACGGTGCTGCAGGACCTGCTGCGGTGAGGGGCGCGCCAGGGCCCGGGCCGCGGGCGGGGGCGGCTCCCCAAGGGGCAGTCCTCCCCTCCTGTGCGTGACAGCGCGCTGGGCCCGGCCCGGGGTCTGGCCCGGAGTGGGCACCGGAGGACGCACACCAGGAGGCTGGGCTACGGGTATTTGGAGGGGTGAGCTCGGGGGCTGGGGTAGTGCGACTAGACGCGTTGCACGTGTCACGGCCCGGCAGAGGTGACAAAGACTTGTGTGAACTGAAATTCCGATGTGTGGTTATGGTCTAAGAACCTCCAAATTTGAGCTGTCCGTGTATCACGAGGTCTAGCAGGTAGGATTCGTGAAACGAGGAAGATCGGAGCAGAGTTTGTGGGCAAGCGAGCTGTAGTAATGTTGCCAACGAACCTGGCACAGACGTACGTCGAGCCTTTCCCGGCCTCTCTTTGGCACAGGCTGTTGGAGCAGAGAGGACAGGAGGGAAGATGAGGCCTTTCCTGAGTACCTGGGCCCCCTGAAGAGGTCCGTAGGTGACACATGTGTGACAGGTGCAGTATTTTGGAGGTGCCTGAGTAGGTAACATTGGTTCCTAGGAGATGACAGCACATCGAAGTCTGCAGATACTTTTCGTCTGACTCTTTGTGAAGTCTTAGGAAAGAGATAAAATTCACCTTGGAAAACAGCTGAGGAAACAGTCTCAGAGAGCAAATGACTTATTGAGGGTTACACAGCTGGTTAGGAGTCTCCTCAGGACTGGATTCCGACTCTGGATTCTAAATCACTTGCACCTCACGCTGTATGCACTGTACTAGGCCTAGTACCTAGCATGGTACTTCCCTCAGTGCATGAAGGAGAAAGTTAACTCTGGTAGCTTTTAGCATGCTACTCTTTCTGATGGGAGGGTCTGACTTTTCTCCTTCTGTTCTCAGTAGCTTTCCATTGGCTGACCTTAATGTACAAACCTTTCAGAAATTTCGCCTTTCTAAGAAAGTGTACTGCCGGGGATAAAGCTCAGCTGCACAGCGCCTGCCTGGCAGGTGTGAGGTCCTGAGTTGGTACCATAACAACAAAAAAAAGTACTATGGAGAGAGTTTCGCTTCAATCCTGGAGACAGTAGCTGAAGAAGCCAATGGGGGACAAGAGCAGAGTGGGCCTGCTTATGGCAGGACAATCTTCTACCGCTTCCAAGCCAGAGATCTTTAACACCTTGGTCCCTCTTCTCCTGACTGGGTCTGACACCTGAAAAGTTTCTAAGGGAGAGATTTCCCCACAGAAGCAGCACAGCCGCAGTGAACAGCTTTGCATGAGGACTCTGCCATTTGTTAAATTATGTGGCCTTAGACAAATTACATGTCATCTTTAAGCCCTAGCTTGACACATTGTAGCATGGTAATGACAGTTGTATATACATTTATTGGGAGAATTTGAAGGCCCTCATGTAGCTCTTAACGTAGTAACTTCAGTGTATTTAGCTGCTGTTACATTACAGCTACCTGGAAGTACCTAATCTTATGTTGAGCTTAGCTTAGGGAGAGCAGGAAGCCCTGTCTCTACATCTGTGTGTTCTTCGCTATGTCTTACACTCGATGGTGACCCACTGTTGTTACTTTCATTTCATTGCTTTGAGCTCCGTTTGCAAAAGGAAAACTCAGTGCAAGCGCAGTACCTCCTGAGTCCCTGGAGTCTTAGTTGGGTGCTTGCGTTTGGAGCCAGACAGACCCTGGGTTCTTCCTGGCCTTCCTCTTTACCATGCTAGTGACACCGTCTGTCTTGCATTATGAGGTTGAGCGCTGGAACATAAGCATTGCCAATCCCAGTGGCCGGTGCAGAGTAGATGCTGTGATGATAAAATTCCTCTTTTGGCTAAGGGGGCGGGTGGGGACTGGAATGGGCCATCACATGAAGTGCTGCTCTGTGCCTTTCTCCTTTCCCTACAGTCGAGGGGAGCTGCAGCGAGAGTCAGACTTCATGGCCAGTGTGGACAGCAGCTGGATCTCCTGGGGGGTTGGCGTCTTCCTGCTGAAGCCCCTCAAGTGGACTCTGTCTAACATGCTGGGGGATAATAAGGTTCCCGCCGAGGAGGTGCTTGTAGCTGTGGAGCTGCTGAAGGTGAGTGTGCGGAAGGGCAGGGCTGGACCCATGTGATGACAAGTGTCTTCTGTGTGTATTCTTGAGGAGGACTCTCTCTCTTACATGGTGACAGAGTTGATACCTGAGTTTACCCCGCCTCCCTCGAGCTGTCCTTTGCAGCATTATCATTTGTAATGTGCAATCCTTGGTCTGGGAATCATCTGTAACAAAGAGTTGATTGCTTCCTAGGATTTGTAAGCAGCGTTGATAAGTGATAATTTAGGAAATGCTTTGCCTTCTGTAGTTTACTGTAGGAAAGCCCCAGGATTTCTGAGGATCTTGTGATTTTTCAGCTCTGCCTACCACTAAGTTAGCAGACAAGGCTCTCACTTCCTACTCAGAATCTGCTCATTTCCCCTTCCAGCTTGCTGCGGGCTGCCTTCCACTGTCCCTGCTCTTTTGCCTCGAAGTGGCCACCAGGAGTTGGTCCTGTCCCCTCCCCGCCTGTGCCGTCAGCCTCCTCCTGGGCTGCCTTCTTCCAGCCCACTGTGCTCTGCTGGCATCACAGGCACCCTCGGTGCCCGTAGCAAGTCGCCTGCTCTTTCCACCTGGAAGACACGCAGTCATTCTGGGTCTTTTTGACCCAAATGGGGCCCCGTTTGTATCCCCAGCTGTAGGGGGGCCCTCAGCCACTCTGCAGCCCCCCCACCGCTCCCACTACCCTTCCACTTCTGCCCTCTTCACTTTCTGCAGACACCAGAAGGTGGCCTCATAAGCCCGCCTTCCACTTCCGGTCCTGCCCTCTGTAGTTTGGCCTCCCCACCCGCAGAGGGCAGAGTGGCCTTCTTCCCTCCCACCTATGCTCCTGAGCCTGCCCCACCTTTCCCGTCCCTGAGTCCCATCAGCCTTTGCTCTTTATATTTTGTTTCTCTCTGTCTTTCAATGCTCTCTTCCTTAGCTTCAACCTACCCAGCTGCCCCATCACAATTTGACTCTTGTATGGTCCCTGGCTCCTGCTGGCTACTGCTCTTCTCTTTCTGTCTGTCTCTCTCTCTGACTCACTCTAAAATACAGCAGACCTCCTTCAGCCTAACTGCTCCAATGAAGCTGCTGTGCACAGGGTGATGGGACCTTGCAGTACGTGTATGTTTAGGAAGTGGGCTGCAGATGGTAGTTCATTTAGAAAGCCATAGACCAAACCCAACCTCAGGGCCTTTGCATATCCTGGTGTCGCCAGTTATGTGGTGCATGCCCACATTCCCCCCATTCTGGGAGGCTAAGGCAGGAGGCTGTCACAGGTTTGACCCCAGTCTGGGTAAGTTAGCAACTTAGCAAGAGCCTGACTCAAAATAAAAAGTAAAAAAAGACTGAGGCTGTAGCTCAATGCAGTGTCGCTGGCTTCAGTCTCCAGAACCACAAAAATAACAAAGAATACTAAGTCTTCAAGCTCTCAGGGGCGCAGTACTCCTAAATCGATGCTCACTTCACAGAACACCTCACCATTTGCTTGAATAGTTGGTGGCTCCATTGTTTTCTTGGGTGAGGCTGGGGGTGTGGGGGGGGGCTTCCTGACATTTGTGACACTAGAGGTTCTTACCTGGGTATAGAGGAGAAAGATGCAGATATAGAGAAAAAACCTGCGGTTGAGGGAGATTGGTTTTCCTAAGCCCAGACATAGAAAATACTCAATAACCTTTTACTTTCTTTTAAACAATTCCGAAAGTATACAGAAAAGCAAAAATTGCCTATGATTTTACTTTGAAAGAAAGTATGCAAAGAATTGAGTTTCCTTTCTGTCTGTCCCATTCTATTTCTTTGAGTATGTTCCTTTCTCATTGGTTGTGGGTGTGTGCATTCTTTTCCTGTTGACCCTCTCACATTCCGTGCTGTATTATTTTCCATTGTGCTTTCTTAATTAGCATTTACTACTGAAACATCTTATCCATCTGTTCTCTAAATACCTTTTGTCTTTTTTTTTTTTTTGAGATAGGGTCTCACTGTGCAGTTCAGGCTGGCCCTGAGCTCACTTTGTAGCCCAGGCTGGTCTCAAACTTGAAACAATCCTCCTACCTCAGCCTCCTGAGTGCTGAGATTACAGGCGTGTGCTACCACACCACGCTCTAAGTACCTTTTATTAATGAATGCTGCGTACCATTAATCTGTTTGTGAGAGGACACTGTACAATTCTGACTGCAGTAGCTTTATAGGGTTCTTACCTGATGGGATGACCAAGTCTAATGGAAACTTAAGTTGCTATCTCATTCACTCTCTGCTGCCTTTGACCCTTCTGCTCACTCACTTCTCAAAATTTCCCTTTTCCCTGAATTTGGGCAGCAGGTTCCTTTGATTCCTCCTGAGTGGTCCTGCTGGGTCCCTGTGGGCCCATTCACTGATGAAACATTGGTCTTCGCTCGCCACTTTCCTCACCAGCTCTCCTTGGCCATCCCACTTACACCTGTGACCATACTTAGCAGCCATGTGCCGAAAACTTTCAGAGTTCTCTCTCTGTCTTGGTGTCTCTTTGGAGCCTCAGATTTATACATCCGTTGTCCGCTGTACATCGATATCCCTCCTCATGGATATGTCCGCTGTACATGGATATCCCGCTTCTTGGATGTCCCTCAGGTGCCCCAGCCAGCACGTCCCAAGTGGAATGTTTTGTCTTTCCTTTAAGATCAGCTTTCCTCCTGGATTTTTGCTATTAACAGCACCACATCTACCAGTCACACAGGTCGGAGGCTAGACCTTCCTCTCCCTCCTTCCACCCTGTACTCAGTCACTATGGCTGTCAGTTTTACCTTCTGCATTTTGCTTGAATCTGCCCTTCTCTCCCCCTATTCACAGATTCTCTCTGTTCCATGTCTTCTCTTGTATAAATAGTGCCTGCCTCCAGTCGTAGCTCCATTGTCCTCTTCGGAGTGGCCAGCCGGCTGTCTCAGTCTAACCATGGCGGTCCCTCCAGTGACTGCCCACTCCCTGCAGAATGAAGCACAGGGAGTAAGATGGTACTCTTTATATCAGGTAGAGGTGCTGCCATTCCTCCCCCTTGCCCTATTGTGACAGAGCCGCCATATTGATGCTCACTTCTGTGCTTATGACTGCTTCTCTTTCCGCGATCCCCCTCCACTTCCTTCAAGTA